CTGGCTGGAGGCGAAGATGTAGACGACAGTGAGCTTCTTGAGAAGTATAGGAGAGTTCCTTTGAGACCTTTCTAGATTCTTCCTGTCATTCCTGGCAGAGGAAAAGACAAAGGGAGGCTTATCATTTTTCTTAGGTTGTCAATAACACAGTGCCAGAGACAGGCAACTTGAATGACAGAAATTAATTTTCTGTCAGTGCTGGAGACTGGAAGTTTAAGATGCAGTTGTTCCGCAGGTCTTCCCCTCCTTCAGGGCTCCCTCCTTAGCTGTGTGGATGCCTCATCTTCCCACCCATCCTTCCATGTAAACACCTGGTACCTCATTTCCTCAGATGCTCGTGCCAGTCATTATATGCTCTAATGACCTCATATTAAATTGATTGCTCCTTTAAAGACCTTATCTCTATGTAAGTTACATTCTGAGGTGCTAGGGTTAATACTTCAGTGTGTGTGGGGGGGCAGGCACAATTTGCCTCATAACAAAGGGGAATTGACCTTTAAACAAAGTCAAGATCAATTTTATTAACTGCCGATAAGCCTTTATTACTTTGTTGGAGTTCCCATCCTAAAAAATCTTTTTGTTTTGTTTTGTTTTGTCTTAGTATTTGACTATATATGGGGTATGTCCACATGAGTATAGTTTCATGCAGAAGCCAGAAGAGGGTATTGGGTATCCTGTGGTTGTAGATGGTTGTGAGAGGCCAGATGTGGATGCTGGGAATCAAATTTACATCTTCTCCAAGAGCATTGCAGGCTTGTTACTGCTGGGTCATCTGTTCTGTCCTGGGTCTCTTATCTATCTATCTATCTATCTATCTATCTATCTATCTATCTATCCATCCAAACCCATGAAACTTTCATTCTGAGTGAGGACATAAGTTGAATATAGGAAGGCCTAAACGAACTTAATGACAGCCAAAACATTGAAATACTTGCAGAATTTAAAATTCCATCACTCAGCCTGTGTATCTTGTATGTCTCCAGAACATATGCTACTGATGCCTTGAGAGTTGGAGACAGAGGACGAAGTGCCTTGTAGTTCTCAGGGTTCCTGTTTGGGTTACTTGTACTAGCATTTGTTTTAGTTCCTTTTCTCATTTCTGTGTCAAAGTACCCAACAAAAGCCGTTTATGGAAGGAGAGTCTTATTCTGGCTCACAGTTTGAAGGTAGAGTCCATCATGGCAGGTGACATATGTTGTTATGTTGTGGCATGAAAGTAAAAGAGGCAGGTGGCCACGAGAAGACAGAGAGAAGAATACAAGTGAGATATTTGGTTTCTCCCTTTTATTCAGTTGGGACCCCATCCCATGGAATGCTGCCACTCACATTTATGGTGGGCCCTCCCACTGTAAGTAACCTAATCTAGACAGTCCTTCACAGACGTGCTTTGTTTCCATGGTGGCTCGAAGCCTCATTAAGTTGATTATTAGGATTCACCATCATGGACTGGGGAGATAGTGCACTTGGTAAATTGTCTGGCATATAACCACGAGGTCCTGGGCTCAGATCTCCGGGGCCCAGGTAAAAAGCCAGTGTGTAATACTGGTGAAAGGGGTAAAGGCCGAGACAGATTCCTACAGCTCATTGGCCAGCCACCATAGCCAAATCAATGTGCGCTTGGCTCAGTGAGAAACCCTGCTCCATCTCAAAAAATATGGTGGAGAGTGATGGAGAAGGACATCTAATGTCCCTTTGGGATCAGCTTCTACAGCCCATAGAAATATGTTTCTTGTTTTAGAGGCAGTCAATTATTTACCTTCATGTTACAGTGTCCATTTCATCTTTATATAAAGCGAAACAAAAGACTTTGGCTCAAAAAAAAAAGCCAGTCTATTTTATTTCTGAATCTGCCACAACTCTATATGCTACATACCTGAGATTGGCCTTGAATTTCTAATCCCCGTGCCTCTGCCTTCTGAGTGTGGGATTGCAGGTATGAGCCACCATGCCCAGGCAGAAGCCAAGTCTTTAAAAACACGCATGAGGAAACAAGGGCTTGATTTTCCGTAATTTTCTAAAATGACTTTTCTTACTTAAATGACATATTGTCAGCTAGCTAACTGCAGAGAGTGAACCTCAACTTGGTCAAGGGCTAGGTGATATGGATGAGAACAGATGTTCTAAGCTGAGACATTTTGCCGACCAAAGTAGCCTGAGTCCTCAATGGCAATGGCTTGCAATTCTGTTTCCAAGTGAAAAAAATGGTTCTTTTTCCCTGACTTTCTGTGGACATCTTTTGAAGCGTCCCTGTGGGCCACGTGTGGGAATTCAGGTGTCTGGTGGCACCCCACTTTCACACCATCTGCTCTTCTCTCCACTTGGAGGTCAAAGCCTGAGTAGCGTGGCATTCCTTTCTGTTACTCAGTTTTCTTGTTGGAGCGCCATGTGCATCCGAGGGCTAGTGTTCCCCAGGGATGCTGCTTGCCTTCTTCTTCTTCTTCTTCTTCTTCTTCTTCTTCTTCTTTTTTTTGCCATAGAAAAGACAGCTTTTGGGTGGACAGCAGGGTAGAGGAAGACACACTTTCTCTTTGACTTACAAAGGCTGTTCCGTCTGCTGGGGTGGAACCAATGTTTCATGGTTCTGTGGTTTCCGACTTCTGGGCATCAGCCATTTTGATGGAAGCTCATTATCCCAGGAAGAGGGTCAGCAATAACAGGACAAGTTGCAGGCACTGTGATATTAGAGTTACAGTGCATATTGACTGTAGACTTGGGGATGGTTTAATTTCACTTCTGCTTTAAATATGAAGACCATTAATTAAGATTGTGTGGTGGGATTTACTAAACCCTTAGGGAAAAAGAAGCTATTTAATGATTTTTGTTTTGTTGCTACTGCTGCTGATTCTCAGGGTAGGATTTGTATAATTAATTGGCTCCTGGTGGAATATCTCTTCTGTCCCTTCTACACTCATTATTCTCAGGGTAAAGTTAGTATTTAAAAGAATTAAGACTTTTCATATTGTAAATGCTCTGTAATTACCTGGTGAGTTAATTATGTAAAGATGGGCTCCAGGATAAGCAAAACACAGCAAATAGCTGATAAGCTATCATTTATCTGTGGGAGAGTAGCATTCAGACACACGCTGTATAACGCGGATGAGTCTTGAAGATACTGTGGAAGTGAAACAATCCGTGAAGTGTGGTTCCATGTGTATAAGGTGAACTTACAGAGATTGTGTGGAGAGTAGAACTTACCAGGACCTGGGAAGCAGGAATGGGACTTAATGTTCAGTGACTTCAGGGTTCCTGTTTGGAGTGATGGAAAGTTCTGGAAAGGGAAAGTAGCAACGTTCAGTGGTCTGAGTCCACTGCTTTAACATGGCTAATGGGCATATATATATATATATATATATATATATATATATATATATATATATATATATATGCACTTAGAAGCTTTCAAAACCTGATTCTGATGCAGGGAGGGTGTAGGAAACATATGCAAGTTGCAAAAACATAAAAACTATTTTTTTATTACTTAGATGTTTATTACCTGAATTTCCAGACCCACTTGTGGGCAGTTCCTGTGGATTTACCTGGTACATAGGACCCTTTCATATCATACTCTGACCAGGATGATAGACCCAGACACTTGTAGTACAATTCTTTCCCGACTTGAAAGAAATCATACTATTTATGGAAAATATTACAAAAATCTGGAATCCCTTAATAGTCTAAAATAGTAATTTTATCCCTGGAACAAGCCAGATGATCATGTTGCTGTCTGCTGGGCACTTGGGTGGGTTTGTTTTTCTTTGTGTACCCCTAGCTGAATCACATTAGTGACTTATGTTTGCCATCATCTCTCCCATGAGGCATATGGTGAACAAATTAACTCATTCTTAAAAAAAAGGATGATGTATCAGTCAGAGTTCTTCAAAGATTCCTGTTTGTAAATCCTGTTTGGAAGAGAGAGATCTATTTTAAAGAATTTATGATGAGAGGGCCTAGCAGATGTGACGTTTGGAGAGTAGGCCAGCGGGCTGGAGACTTGGGGAGGAGTTGTTGACATGTCGAGTTTCATAGTTATTTAGAGGCAGAATTCCTTCCTGGGAGACCATAGTCTATTTTCTTAGAATCTCCCTGATTGAATCGGTCTGTCCTGGTGAAAGGTGATCCACTTATTCAAATGTTAACAACACATGTTAAAAATCTTCACTGTAGCAGGGTGGTGGTAACACATGCCTTTAATCCCAGCACTCGGGAGGCAGAGGCAGGCGGATCTCTGTGAGTTCGAGGCCAGGCTGGACTGACAGCCTCCAAAACAATACAGAGAAACCCTGTCTCGTAAAAACCAAAAAAAAAAAAAAAAAAAAAAACTTCACTGTAACATCTAGACTGGTGTTTAACAGTGGGTCCCCAGATCCTCAGCCAAACTGACCTCAAAAGTAACTGTCATAAGCTAGGGATGTGTCAATAACCAAATCATCTTTAAATCAGATATTTCCTTATTTGAGTGCATGTAGAGGAAGATTCCAGTGTCCTCCCACCTCCTCATCTAGGTTCAAGTCTCACGTTGTCATTACTTCACCAGCTGGGTAGGGCTCTCTTCCAAACCAAGGTGGGTTAAATGGCATAGAGTCTTCATTGTGGGTGCACTGAAGGTGTGAGTGTGTGAATGCAGCAGCCTGCCAAATAGGCTGGTGTGAGTCCATGCCATGGCGGGTTCTGCCAGTCAGCCCTTTGGGAACCAGCCATTTCTGTGGAGGGATGTGATGGGGAGCATGATTTCACCGTTATTGCATCCCCAATTAGTCGGGGCCCAGGTGTATGTTAATAAATGTTAGCTCACTCTCTGTTGCACTAACGACCCCACCTTGACTTGATTCCAGGGATTTCGTGCTTTTGGTATTGTTCAATTCATTGTGTGTTTGCTGTGCTATCCTGAAAGGGCTTCAAACATCTGGAGACCTGCTTTTTTGTTGTTAGAAAACATTCCAGTTGCTCAAGAATGTCATGGAGCAGTGGTGGTTTTGACTTTGCCCTTTCCTCTCTGGCAGGCTGGTTACCTCCTTGGATGCAGACCGTGTTCACTGCAGAGCAAAGCCCGACTACCAGGCTGTCTTTCTTAAGGTAAGAACTTCGCTATCACAGATAGCCCCCGGGCTTCAGTCAGAAGCATCCGCACAAACTCCTGCATGTCTCGGAATTCTGTTTTCTCCAGTTTGGGAGTTTTCTATCCTGTGTTAGCCTGCTTCTGTTTCTGTTCTGTGGCTCTGGGACTTGGAATGCTGGTTTGGGCTTGTTATGTTTTTGTTTAGCACAGGAGGGAATCTGCAAGCCCAGGGACTGCTCTGTGGATTAAAGGCTTTCCTGGTGCTGCAGAAGTCACTGATTTGGTTAATTGCAAGGGAATTCACCTAAAGTGACCTTTGTAGGTCATGGGGTTCTATGTGGGGCAGGAGTGGTGTTTGCATATAGTCATATCAAGGGAAATAATACTGCTGAAAAAAAAAACTCGGGGTGTATGAATACTAATTATTGAATGCTTGGAATTCTTGGATGTTTAAATGCTAAGGCTTAGGAAAGACATACTGACCCAAAACAGGATGAGAGTGTTATTCCAACAAAGAATCGACTGGCATAAATGTGAGCATATTTCAATCTCTGTGTTTATTGATGGTGTTGTTCAGTTTATATACTTTCAGTTTTTAATGTGGTGCTTAACACAGAGCCTGCCCAGAATAGGTTGCAAGCTCTGACCTCCATTTCCCCAGGTGAAGAGACGAAAGCAGAGGGCTGGTTTACTGAGGTCAGGCTGCACATGCCGTGCAATGCCTTTTTGTGGCTGTGAGCAGTAAGCCTATGCTGTCTGGTTATCACTCCCCAGCTGTCAGGAATGCCAGCCCCTAGCCCCGAGGCCTCTGCCTTACAAACAGACCTCCCACCTTGTGTTTGATGGGTGGAAAGGAGGAAGGCAAGTACCCAGAGGAAGTTGTCTGTGATCAGGAAGTGATTGGGCCCTGGCCATGTTTACATTCCTTTTCTTGTCCAGAGAGCAGATTGAATTATTAGCATCAGTGTTTGTTAATGGTAATTATACGTTTCAAGTACAAAGCAGGATTCTGTAAAATGTCTGGTAGGATGCCTTTCTCTTTCTGAATAAATGGCATCGTACTGTTCTAATTAGGGTTAGGAAGACAGGCAAAAATGTGTACGTTATCATCAGTTTTCCCCAGGGTAAGAGAGAGGGTGGTGTGTGAACTGCTACTTCAACTTAACAGTGTGTTACTAGCCATTCTCCAACTGTGAAGATCAGAGTCCAGCTATGAGACACTGAAGATCCAGCTATGCGACAAGAGGGCAGAGGGTCATCTTCCAAGGCAAAGAAAATTTCTTTTAACAGCGTTAACCATAGTTCTGGGAACACCATTAGCCATGGTGTTAATAATGAGCACAAGGTATCAGCTTATAACTCTAATATTAACCATCATCACCATCACCCCAGCCAACATTATTGGCTCCTACTTCCTTAGACACCAGACTGAAGTTTTATATGTGTGATCTCGTATAGTCATCATGGCATTCCTGTCAGGAAGATTCTATTAATATCCACATTTCAAAGATGAGAAAACCGAGTTACTCAAAGCTAGCCAAGCCCTCGAAGTGTCGTAAGTGGGACGTAGCCTGCAGGACATCCCAGGACAGGCCCAGCCTAGTACAGCCTAGGCAGTACCTCACTGCCTACCATGTGTCCTGCCTACCATGTGTCCCCTGCCTACCACTTACCATTAGTACTTTATCTCTTCCACACTGGGGAATTTTAATTATGTACCTATAAGAAAATTTTCAATCATTTTGACCACCAGAAGCTATCTGGGACTGCTTGCCTTCTTAGTGCCACATATTTGGACCATATCAATTGCATGGATATTTATAAGCTGCTCCCTAGATTCTCACCTGGTGATACTCACTTTGCATTGGTTTGCACATACACTGAGCAGGTCTGCCCACCTCACTAAGACCCATGGAATAAAGCACTCCTGTTGAAGCAAAGTAGAGGTCTGCCTCCCCTTCCTTCTATCATGGCTAACAAGGAACAAAATGCTGTTTCCATCATGTCTTTCTTCAAAGATATACCTTGGAAAGTTTGCCTCCGTTGTCCCATGTCTGATCATTAAATGGTCTTAGCTTCTCCCAAGCCAATGTGCTGACTTTAGTGTCCTCACTGCTCCTAAGCGGGTGGGATGAGAGCGTGGGAGCTCCACATGGTGACTGGTAAACCTGTTAGCAGACAGGTGTCCTGGTTTCATGTGTGTATACGTGTGTGGGAAATACTATTGATGATAAAGCCTCATTTGTGCAGGGCTATCGTCAGTTGTTATCTGTTGCTTAATAAACCACCCTGTACTTGTGGCTTAAAACAACAATCGTTTTATTTGCTTGTGGTTCTGTGGGTTTGCAAGTAGGGCTAGGCACTGCTGGGTGGTCCCTCCACTGGTGTCAGGTGGGTCACCCTTACCATTGTACTTAAGGTACCCAGAAGATGGGGTTCAGGATAGATCTTTGTTGACCTCTTCTACCGGTGACCACTTTTTCCTGAGAAGATTTTGCATGTCTCCAGCCATATAAAAATATTAAATAGATATACAAGTCAAATAGATATACAAGTTTACTGGCAATAAATCACAAAGAAGTTCATTTCAAAACAATTCTTTGGAATACAAACAATTTTTCCATTTATTAAAAATCAAAGCATATTTGCATACTAGTGAAATTAGATGTTTTTATTTGTCAAGCACAATAAAATCCAAAGCCATACTAATTTGATATTTACATTCTAAGGAATGACAGTAGGAAAATATTAAGTCTTTGTTTTCTGTAATTAAATTGAATTTCTTTGTTTGTTTTGAGTCAGGGTCTCCTGTAGCTCAGGCAGGCCTCAAACTTGTCATAAAGCTGAAGGTAACTTCAAGCTGCTGATCCTGCTTCCATTTTCCAAGCGATATGATTACAGGCATGTTCTACCATGCCCAACTTAAGCCTTATGTTTCAATAAGAGTAGAAACCTTTTTATGTACACTAAAAACACTGCCATTTAGAACATACAGTAATCAAATCTGAGCCAACCCATTTCGGTATTCTTTGGTGTATTGTGGCATGACAGTATACTCAGTGCAAACTGCACATGATGTGTGTTCAGAACCAAAGCTACAATGAAACGGAAGGATGCAGCCTGGGCACGCATGCCACGGTGGGTCCACTGTGTTGGTGAGTTTTCACGAATTTTGGGTCCTTGCATGTTCAGAACCCTTTTACCATTGCTTCATTGTTTGTAATCTCACGTCGAGTTATGTGGTCCCCGTGTCCCACAGTTTAATCAGTAGACTCTCTTAGGTTCTGTCACATGACAAATGGCCAGAGGACAAAAGTGAATGGTACAATCTTGAAGCCTAGACTCAAAAGCTATTCAGTCTCATTTCTGATTCATTTTATTGGTCAGAGACTATTTCTTCAAGGAAAGGGGCTGGAAATAGAAAGACTCTACCTCTTCTTGATGCCAGCTACAAATTATTCATAGCCATTTAAAATATATCAAGAGAGTCTTAGATTTGATAATAAAAACAACCTGAAAAATTGCCTTAAAGCATTTATCTTTGCCTTCCTTCCTTCCTTCCTTCCTTCCTTCCTTCCTTCCTTCCTTCCTTCCTTCCTTCCTTCCTTTGTTTTGAGACAGGTTTCTCTGTGTAGCTTTAGAGCCTGTTGGAACTTGCTCTGTAGACGAGGCTGGCCTGAAACTCACTGAGATCTGCTTGCCTGTGCCTCCCTAGTGTTGGGCTTAAAGGCCAATCAATGAGAGGAAGGTGTGGAAAATAGGTCTTCAGCAACACATCTGTGCACATGATAATGAAGATATTGGCCACCACCAACAGTAACACTGCCAGAGTTAGGGCACAGCCTTTCCTCCAGTGGATCCAAAAAGCTGGATGTGACCATCCATCCCCTATAAGACAATCAATAGACCACATAAATGGGGAAAAGCAGAGAAAGGAGATGTATTCAATTTAGTCCTATTGGGAAGAGGAACAAAGAGATTCAGGGCCACCTAAAATCCATTCTTAAAATTGCATAAAATCAAACAGAAGGCAAAAGATGTGCATGGTTAAGCAGTCTTGGTCAAGGTATGGTCCTGTCCATCATGGATCCATCATCATCTTAGCTCTAGACTTTCCTCCAAGGTGGTCTAAGTTGTCAGTAATATGTAAAACCCCTTCCCCATTGTTAGGGGCAGTCCCACCTGCCTCCAATCCTTTTCTTCTCTCCCTGTTAGATTCTTAGGGGATATTCTAGTTCACAGAGGTGCCTGTTTCACTAGCTCAGCAGTCCAGATAGAGAGGCACAATGTCTCTTGAGAATGTCCTCATGCCTTCCAGGATGCTTATTGCAATAACATTGTTCTTACTGAAACATGCCACCACTGTTTCAAGTCCTTTGTATATCACAACTCATTTAATCATTATAAAATGCTTTGAAGAATTATAAATTTTGCCCCCACTTTCAACTGGGAAAACAAAGAGAGGTTAATTATCTTGCCTTTCCCACATAGCTGCTAAGTTGCAGAAGTTGGAGGCTATTCAGAGGCCAGGCTCCAGAGACTGGGCTCTAGCTGCCTCTCAGGCTAATGGAAAGCAAATCTTCCTGAGTTTTAGTAAAGCTCTCTTGGATCATGATTTGTTTTATTTTGTTTTTTCCCAGAGACAGTGGAATTGGCAATTTGGTGAGACTGCAAAGCATTTCTGGGCACACCCTTGTGGCCTCAAATAGGTCAAGAGTAGAGATCATAAGGGTGTTTGTGTCTCATAGAACAGTGATTCTGGCCCACAGTGCATCCCAGAATATAGGTGCTTGGTGTGGGGTTGTTCTTGCCTTGCTAGGGAATTGTTTGAAGAGTGAGGATGTTTAAGGACAACCCCAATTGGCTTTCAAGTAGTCTCTTAATGTTAGTCTATGATCCTTAGATTTAACCTAAAAAGAAATGTGCTTACTTAGCCTTTTGTTTAAGGACTGTCCTGGGGACAAAGAAGGATGCCCATAGCCCCTTTTAACATATTACTCATAAAAATTAATTCTCC